GTGAGTCTCTTTTTTTTTTGGTTTTTTATCCTTTTTTTTTTTTTTTTTTTTTTTTTTTTTTGTTAAGCCCAGGTTTTTGTCGAGGTGGGATACCAGACAGACGACAGTCACCCACACTGTCCCACAGTAATCGGCCATTCGGTGAGGGGCAGCAAATGATGGAAGCCAGTCCAGCGTCCCATCCGAAAATACTATAATTAATTAAAAAAATGTAGCTCTCCATACTCATGTCTTTTCTTCCTATGGCTGGGCGAGAGGCACTGATTTTTTTTTTTTTAATTACAAAAAAAAGCGAGAGGCACTGATTCCTTACTCACCTCTCACCAAATCTTTCTATTCGTCTGAATCCTTTATTTTTTCGTTTCTTTTCTACTAAATATCAGGACTTGCAGAAAGTCTCTCTTCCATCTTCCTTTCCTCTCTTTTTTTTTTTTTTTTTCTTCATCCTCCTCTTCCATTTCTCGATTTATGCGTGTCATGCTTGCGCAGGGGCCATCCTAGTCTTCTCTGTATCGCTCCAATTTTCACGGATGCCCCAAAGGAATTAATCCTCTTCCGCTTCTTCCCCTTCTTTCCCTCCTTTGTCTTCCTTCTTTAAGAAAAAAAGGGCAACGGCCATGAGCTATCGTCCTGGAAGCTACCGCCCCTGGTAAATCAGAAATTTATTCACCTACCTTCATCTGGATTCGAACGCAGGTCTGTAGTTCAACAATACACGAGGTGGACCAACGGGCCAACTGAGCTAGGCCCGTTGGTTCCTTCTTTCACTATAATTGCCTTTTTGTATCCTTCATCGCTTCTTATTCCGGTCGTATGTATACAGCCGGAATATCACCATTCATTGCATTCAACCATTGTTCCTATGCGTAAATCTGGGAGAAACATTTCTCCTCTTCCCCCCTGCCGTCACAAACTCTCTCTCCCTCCCTTTCTCCCTCTGTCTCTCACCCCCCTCTCTCTCTTCCTCTCTCCCCCCCGCTCGCAGTTTTGCCTGCCCACAACCCATCACTCTCCCATAGTCTCTCTCAATTACTCTATCCCCCCCTCCCCCTCCCCCTCTATCTCCCCCTCGTCTTTCCACCCTCCCTCCCTCGTTCCTTCTCCCCCTTCTCTCTCCCCTCCCCTTACCAACATGAATTGTCAGGCCTTCTC